CAAACTCCACTCAAAAGTGAAAAAAAAAAACTCATTTACAGGTATTTGATATGTCTGAAAAGTGACAAATCATATAGGTGATTAATTAGAGGTGAACAGCAACCATGTAGGTTTTTTTACCTAAAAACTAAAATGTATTCTGGAGTGTTTAAAAACCGGAACAATGTTTAAAAGCAGATTATATATATATGCTTACATAAGTAAAAACCTCATTTGATGACTCTGATGTGTTTAAAAATCACAAATACTTGGATGAACTATCAAGGGTGAAAATACTAGGTTAAAAAAGAAGAAAAAAGGAAAACTACAAGTCTAAAAAATGACAAGGCACATTGGAGCCAAGCATACTGTGTTTCCAAACATGTGTCAGAGCAAGCTGAACAGCAGATGGTGCTCAACAGACACATGGTTTGTACTAACAGCATCATCAATGGTCTGGTTTCGCAGCTCTTCCATCAGATGAAGAGGAAGAGGAAGGCTGTTCAGTGCACTCTAATCATGCCACAAGTCACAGTGCATTTTGGTCGCTCTCCGTGTTTCCCAACTTGACAATTTTCCCTCAACTGGAGGGAGTCGACTGTGCAAAACGCATTAACTACTGACATCTGAACTCATGAGTGACATTATGAATGTCAGATATTTGCTGTACTTTATGAGCAACATTCACTTGCACTGATGCTAATACTTTCATTAAAGAGTACATCTGATTGTGCATTATAAAGTGACGACCTTACAATAAAAAGTTGGGTTGATGTAATATTCGGTGACAAGTAACAATGAAACGATTTAAGAAATGTTCTGGTTGTCTCCTCCTGGAGTGATCATAACTATCTGCATTTCATAGAGAAAGCAAGTGAACTTGTTACAAAATATAAATACATTTAAAAGCATCTTGCAAAAGCAAGAACAGAAGACATTGATATGAATATAGGAACAAAAAATGCTTGCTATGCAGAAGAGTTTTAACATTAAATGTACATGTATGACGTCATATTGTTTCAATGGATGACATCATAGATTACATATTTTGGGGCTTTTAGTTAAACTGTATTTTTATTTTTAGGATTAAAAAAATCATATATATATATTATTATTATTTTAATTTTTTTAAGCCAAGCTGACTTCAGTTTATCAAGGCCACAAGCCTTTTATGATGGAGATACAGTTATCTGGAATACAGTATTGAATTGTCTGCATATGTTTGGCCTGTGGCTTTGTGACGTCAACAGCGTAGAGGCTCGGTCAGGAGTGACCCGAAGACCGTCCATTTTTTACTCTCTCATAGCACAGCAGAAGTAACAGTTAAGAAAAAACATAAAACCTAGCAAGACTAGCCAAAGCGATTCCAACGCAAAATACGACACCTCAAACATGTCTTAAAACGATAATCTTTCTGATAAAAGGAATATGATAACTACTCTTACTCCCTGCCTTTCAAACCCTGTCTCCTGAAGCCATGGGGGAGCGCAGGGGGGACTAAGAGATGAGTGCAGCCGTGGGAAGGGGGAAATGTTTGATTGACAGCCCGCTGACCCCTGCAGAAGAGTGACCAGGTGAGGGAGGCGGGGTTAGAGGAGGGGTTTAAAGTTGAGAGTCCGCCCCCAGGCTGTTGAGCTCCTCGGGCGAGTGCTTCTCAGCACCTGATGCTGCCTGGCGGAAACCGGCGGAGATTTCGTCGAACGTCCGGCCCTTGGTCTCTGGGACTTTGAAGTAGGTGAAGACGAAGAAGCATAGTAAAAATATAGTGAAGATGATGAACACGTACGGCCCACAGAGCTCCTGTTAAAGCACAGAGAGAATAAAGTTAACCCGGCCAAATACAAATGTGTCTGTTTCCTTGATATAATTCTCACTGGCCTCTTACCTCGACATACTGGAAGCACATGCCCACGATAAAGTTCGCTGTCCAGTTGGAGAATCCTGCAACAGCAAAAGCAGAGGGTCTTGGGCCTTGACTGAACAGTTCAGCCACAATGAACCATGGGATGGGGCCCGGTCCAATCTCAAAGAAGGCCACGAATGCAAAGATTGCTACGATGCTCATGTAGGACATCCAGTCGTACTTTTCCTGTTAGAGAGATGGGCAATAAGGCAGTGAGATCAAATATATTGTAAACCTTTGGACCTCAAGGATGACTATTTGAATGATTAGTAACTCTAAACATCAACACCATGGCATTTAAGTAAATATGTAAATATTATTTGCATACCAGCAAGGCAAGAGCGATGGTCATCAGTACAGCAGATCCAGCCATTCCCAGCAGTCCCAAGAGGTGCAGAGACCTGCGGCCCACTCGCTCAACCACAAACAGCTGCGTAACAATAACAAATCATATTAATATGATGCAAAATGCTGATTAATACTTGCTCATTTTGTGATTAATATCATCATTGAATAACTGTCTGATTGAACAATTATCAGAAGAGTTGGTACCGTCTTGCGTTAAAATTTAAATGAATTTATGTAAATAAATTCTGTAAAATAAATAATATTAATAATAATAATTAAATAAATAATTTAAATACATTTTATTAAATTTTCATTATTGATTTTATATATCAAATATTGGAAATTTGCCATTTGATAAATAGAGTATACATAAATTCATGTAAATTCAATGCATGTCGTTTATTTATTTTAAATATTTACTATTTATATATTAATATCATGCAATATTCATTACTCGGGCACATGAATTTTGAGGGAAATTATGTAAAATGATAACAATACTTAAATATGTATTATTTTACATCTTTATGAATTTTAGTAAATGTAAATTCACTATTCATTCTTTTATTTTATACATATAATTAATCATATATGCTATGTAAATAAATAAATAATGGTTCTGTTATGTTCATGCTGATGTCTGTTTGCATACCGATACTCACCGACACAACAGTGAAAGCTGTGTTGACGACTCCTGCTCCAATAGTGGCGTAAACCGGCTGCTGCACACCTGCCTTCTCAAAGATCTTTGTAGAGTAGTAGAATACCTACACAACGTGTTAACACCAGTTAGTCATGAAAATCGAGTTTACGTAAAAACAGTAAAGGTACAGGCCCAAGGTTTGTCTTTGTTGTACTAGTAAACGTGTGTGCGTGCAGGTACTCACAGCATTGATTCCAGACAGCTGCTGGGACAGCTGCAGCATGATGGCTATAGCGATGGGCTGTCGGTAGAGCGGAGAGCGGAACAGTTCAGGAATGGTCACTTTCTTCTCTCTCATCATCTGTCTACTCTCCTCCTTCATCTCCTGCATGTCTGCGCTCACATCTGTCATTCCGCGCAGCTTTTTAAGCACTAAAGGCACATGAAAACATTTGTTTACACTGATGAAAACACTCCTACGCTGGATAAATGGAGATGTTTAGGTGCTGTGGGTCTGTGCTCACCTGCTTTGGCTTTGTTTTCCTCATTGCGGATGATGAGGAGAAATCGAGGGCTCTCGGGGCAGAAGGGCAGTAAACAGCACTGCAGCAGGGCTGGGATAAAGGTGAAGCCAAGGAGGAACGGCCACATGGTGGCATTACCCATGATTGCGTCCATACCAAAGATCTACAATACAATAAACAGCAGATAAATATGGAGAAACCAAATGGTGACTGAAACTGCAAAAACATCCTGAGTACATATGTACCTGAGCCATGAGGATGCCAATAACGATGCCCAGCTGATGAAGGGTGCCCAGGGCTCCTCTGAGGGCTGTGGGGGCCACTTCACCCACGTACATGGGCACAAAGCCAGTGGACAGACCAGAGTAAAGGCCCACCACGAACCGCCCAGTAATGAGCATCTCCCAGGACGCCCCCATCTTAGAGAAGCCCATCAGTGCTGCGGCGATGAAAGCCAGGACATTGGCCATGAGCATGGAGTTCCTCCTGAAATGAGAAAAATAGGAAGAGATTTATAATACAACGTTAAAATCATCAGAAACAAGGACTGAATAGTATACAAGGAATTAAATAATGTAAAAGACAGTGCCATAATTAATGTTAAAACAATATCAGTGGTTACAACTGTATTTCACCTTCCAAAGCGGTTGACAAACAGCCCGACGGAGAAGGATCCAATAATGCCACCCACAGAGAAGATGGCCACAGACAGAGACCACAGGGTAGTCATGGTTGTTTTTTGGATGTTATCCTTATATCGATCATTCCATGTCTCATTGTAGAAGGCCTCAATGATCTACAACACAAATACAGTCACTTATTACAAGGGTTGTTACAGTTACTAAAACTGAAACTATAAATAAGCCAAAAATTGTTCCTTGAAATAAGACAAATGTTTACTGGGGGGGGAAAAAAGAAAAGAAAAAAAACTTTTATTTTAAAAGTACTTTTTTTTTTTTTAAAGAAGCTTTTATTTCAGCTTCTTGCCAAGGCAACATTTCTCATTTTAATTTAGTTTAATATGATACATTTTTTTTGCAAAAACTATACAGGACTTACGTAAAAAAAAGCCCTACTAACAACAAAATTACAAACAACAAAAGTAAAAAGAAAACGGAAAATATAAAACTAAAAACTGATTCAAAATATGAAGAAAAAAAAAAACAATTGCTTATTACGTGACAGACTGAACATAGCAACTTACAGCAAAAACCTGTTCTTTATATATTATTGTTATAATTCTGACAATGTAGTTAAGCACATTTTTTGCTAATTAAAAAAATGTGAGAGCAAAACATCAAAATTAGAATCATCAAAAATGTGTTTAATCACATACAAAGTATTTTGCTAATTAAAAAGCGTGATTCTTAATCATTATTTTTATATTTTTAAATATAATTTCAATTTAAAATGAATTTATTTATTTATTTTACACCAAGACTAATACATCAACAAAATGTAATATCTCCATTCTGCTCTGAGTGGTGGAGATTTATGTTGTAATGAGCAATTCTGTCCAGCAGGTGGCTCAGTCTCGTTCAGTATTAGGTAACAAGGTTTTGTGAGGGAAACTGAGACCCATAGAGGGAGTCTGGGATCTCTGCGTCTTTACAACTGTCTGCTGTAGAGTTCAGAGGAATGTCACCCAATAAGATTCAAGCTGCGTTATAAAGGGGAAGAAATGAAGTTTGTTCTGTATGATCTGTTGGCGTATTGAGTTCTCTACACTACTTCCTGTCTCTCCTTTCTCGTCGTCAGCTGTCTGACACCTTAGGTATGCAGAAAGTCCTTCAGCGCATCAGCATGACAAATATCATGCATGGTTAAAGTCATGTGCCTCAAGGTTTGATCCGTCATTATACAAACATGTTACACAAAACCATGTTGTGTGTTTGTTTTTATAGAATCACTACTAGACACATGCACATAGGAAGCGATTACTTATACTAAATGTAATCTTTTTCCATATGCTAATCAAAATAATCTCTTAAAACACAATAGTTTTAGAAACCATGTTTAGTTAAAGTAATGCTGAACACAGTTGTCCACAGTCCCAATCCACTGCCAGTGTATGAAAAAAGAAAGCCAAATGGGTTTGGAAAAACAATGAGTGTGACAAACATATAACAGTTTTCATTTTGATTAGACCTTTAATGGTTTATTATCCGAATGAACTCCTGCATTGAGGAGTGCAGCAAAGATCCACCTGGTCAGAAATAATACAGTCCATTCATAGAGGAGTTTCACGCTAGATAGTGCATTATAACACAGTATAGTTTTGCCGATTTGTGAGTGCAGTCTCAGTAAGGGACTGTGGACAACGAGCCCTTGAGGGTGCAGTAATCTTATCGAAGTGATTATTTATAGAGAGGGTCTGCGTCAGACCCACACCCACACACGTTACTCCTATTAAGGCCTCAGCACAGCCCTGTCTCACGTGCTAAAACTATTGTTACAACCATCAGAAACGCAAACAGTGAAAGCAAACACACTATTCTTTGCCAGAGGCCAGTATGTAGAGTCTAGTGGTATTTAAGTAGTTGAAACACTGTCTATAATAATAAAACTCTGGCCGATAACAATAGGCAGATAAATGGCA